GGGGAAGGGGGGAAGGGGTTTAGGACGAGGGAAAAACACAAGTGCACTGGAACAGTCCAGTGTCCGGATTAGTGCGATAAGGCCTGGTGATGCGAGGGTGCTTAACTCAAGACTTTTGTTTTGACGGGCTGTCGTACAAGTAATGATTTCTGTTGTAGTGAATCGCGACATAACCGCCGATGCGCTTTGCACCTAGCCCTGCTGCTGACACTGGCGTTGCTGTTGGTGGTGGTGGTTAATTGTCGGTTGTCGGTTGTTGGTAACGATGGTGATGGTGGTGGTGGCGGTACTGGTGATGGTGGTATTGGGGTGATGACGAACAGCTGGAGCTCCCAGTACAACACGACAAGGGCAACAAGGAATCTGATCCCCGGGAGGTGTGGGTGTTCACATACTCACTCTCTCATTCACAGACTCTCACTCTCTCATCCACAGACTCACACTCTCTCATCCATAGACTCACACACTCTCACGCACCTGTTTGTGGTCGGTGAATGTGGTGGTGCATCGCTGTTTCTCAAAGTCCCAAATCTTCACGGTGGAGTCGCCACTGCCGGACGCCAGGCAAACACCCGCTGGGTGGAAGTCCACACCCGCCACCCAGTCCTTGTGACCCTCACCACACATAATCAGGTCGCCACCTGCCGTACACAGCCGTACACAGCCGTACACAGCCGTACAGGTTTGGTAAGGAAAATAAGGAGAGGGGGCTCTTGACTACTACAATAGTAGTAGTAGTAGTCAGTAAAATGTCTGGTCACCTATAAGCGATGCTCTCGTATATTAGGCGAGGACCGTCCGTACCTATTACACGAGATTGTCGCTTATAGGTGACCAAACTTTTTACGCTGAACCGGGCTGAGCCCATGAGCTGAGCTCACAGTGGGAAGTCCCGTCTTGTATTAGTGGGCAACGACTAAGAGCACGTATCAAAACACCCTAAGTTCCCTTTTAGGGAAAGAAGGGGTAAAGGGGCAGAACCAACGATCCACAACCTAAAGCCTTTAGGTCCCGACCTAAAGCCCAGTAGGAGAACGGAAAGGGGAAAAGACGAACCACTGAAGGGGGGGTAAGAGGAGGAATCTGCGGGGCCCCATGATGGGGTTGAAACCCCTAAATATCTGTTATGGAGGTTTCTTTTCCGGAGCAGGGATGATTTCACGGTCTACTGATCGAGCTACTGGTCGAGTGGGTGGCCGTTGGGTGCCTGAACGTGTCCATGCCGCCTTCAAAAATGCTTTCTCAACGCCTCGCGGCATCATTCTCTCGTCCCTAAAACCAGCCTTCCCCTCACACCCCCGCCTCCTCCGCCACCGCCACCGCCACCGCCGCCGCCATCTCACCTACCTGGCATGTGCCACATCTTCCACGTCTTGTCATCTGAGGCCGTAACCAGGATGGGCTTCGTGGGGTGCAGCGCCAGATTGGCCACCGACAGCAGGTGCCCCTTGAACGTCCTGTTCAGCGACAACATCTTGACGGGAGCAGCTGGGAACTCCAAATCCAGATACGGGTTGCGGCGAGGCGGCGCGTTGAGTGACGCCCAGCCGCTGCGCGGGCCCGCGGATGCCGTGCCGCCGGAGCGGCCCGTAGCGGCGGCGGCGGCTCCGCCGCCGCCGCCGGCGCCTTCGGCGCCGCCGCCGTTGGCGGCTGCTGCTGCTGTTGTACGAGTTGCACTTGTGGAGCTGGCGCCTCCGACGCTGCGCTCACCCATGATGGCTGCGACGGCGCTGGCGTTGGCGTTTGCCGCCTCCAGCGCCTCCACCTGCGGTGGTCATTCCATGCCGCCGTCGCGGTCGCGGTCAAATTCGCGGGCGCGCGCGTGTGTGTGTGACTGTGTGTTTGACTGTGTGTGTGTATATGTTTGACTGTGTGTATGTGTGCAAACACATGGCGACCGGCTCAAGAGCACGGTGGCATGCAACCCAGATGCTCTCTCTGGAAGCCAACCTTTTGCCCATTGCCGGCTCGCTACGCCCTTTACCCCTTTCATTTTTCAAACCTTCCTCCTCCCTGACTTTCCAAATCCCTAAATTCCCACAGTTTCCACACATACCTTTATTTCCCCTTCCCACCTCACCCCCTCCCTCTCCTGCTTCCTTCCTTCCTTCCTTTTTTCCCTGTCTCCCGCCGTCCTCTGTGCCATGCTCGCCTAAAGCCGGTATCACGGGGACGGTTTGCATCCTACTCCCGCTCATCACCCCTCCACCTCCTAACCCCTCTTCCAACTTTTACACACAGACAGACAGACAGACACAGACACACATACACGCACACACCTTGGTCACCAGTTTGTCCCTCTCCAGACACGCCATCATCTTCTCCTTCATCAGCACCTCGTACTTTTTCTTCAGCTCCAAAATCGTGGGCTCATATTTCGCGTAGTGTTCCTTCAGTCGGCGAAGGTCCGTCAGCAGCTTGTTCTTCTCCTGGAATCGGGATGGAGGAGGGGGATCCATCATACGATTACGCAACATGCAGGAAAGGCGTCTTAACTTAACTGGCTAGAGGGCATGGCGGGAGAGGTCGGGATGAGTGGGGTTGTACGGTTATATGCACAGTGAGCAGTAGATGCAATACTGAATGGAGGGATGGGGGAGCGGGGTATGGAGCTGTAGGTTGGAAGGAGGATGTCGGTTGGAAGGGACTCCTCCGACGGGGCCGCCATCGCCGCCTGTCCCCGCCCACACGGCATCAGCTTCACTCGTTCGTGGTTCGTCTTTTCTCTCCTCACCTTCCCCCCCCTTTCCCCCCCTTTTCCACACACACACACCCCTTGCCCATCACCAGCAATGCCTAGCTGATGGTACACTGGAGGCCGACAATAGCCCATGGCCATCAAAACCCCTCATCTCCCCACTCCTACCCACTCCCCTGTTACCTCCCCTCAGAGCCCCCTGACGGTGCCGTACCTGCGCCACCCGCTTGTGGTGCATTCGGTGAAAGTCCCTCTCCTTTCGAAACGTGTCCCACGTGGCGCTCGCACGGGCGGCGATGGATTTAGCCTCCGCGAGCTCCCTACGGAGACTGGCCACCTCATCCTCCAACTCCTGCCAGCGGCGGACCGGAAGAGGGGGTGACAGACCCGCGGTGACAGACCAGCAAAAAATGAATGAAATAAACAGTGGCCGGCGGTCACCGCATATATTTCAAACATCACCACCTTATAAAAAGTGCAGGTGAAGTGCAGCTTTGGGTATAAAAAAACTCTTTTAAGCAGCACATAGAAGAGGATAGAATAGGATAGGATAGGACAGGACTGGTCAAGGCAGGGCAGGGCAGGAAGGATAAACATTGCCCGCTGTGTGAAGTTAAGGTTGAGCTGTGCAGATGACAATGGGAAGGGGACGGTGCAGGAGGATACGGCCCACAAGGGGAAAAGCTGCCTCCCAAAGCTGGAAAAGGGAGGGAGGGGAATCACACGCAACAGGGGAATCACACACACACACACACACAAAGAGCTGACGACGTCCGAAGCACCCACTGGAAGGGGGGGAAGGGAAAGAGCCGTCCATGGACATGGAGGTGTGGGTCGCTCGCGGGGGGGCCAGCAGGAAATAGCAGGAAAGAAGCTGTTAGGTGCGGGACGGGTCACCCACGGGTACCCCGGCAGCTCACACAGATCATATCTGGGCTCCGCGCTCTACACCCGACTGCACCAAGCCAAGGTGCACTCAAAAGGCCTTTCACATCACGTGTACAAATACGTTCCTCACTCCCTCTGCATCTGGCACGTAACGATTTTCCTCTCCCATGTGCCCTGCCTCTTTGGCCTCCAACCCCCCTTACCCCCTCCCATTCACGCATCCACGTGGCCGAGGCGCAGAGGCGCCACAACCCCAGCAGGAAGAGACCCCGAACCGGACCTCCTTACCTCCTTCCCGGGCCCATTTTCCCCCTTTCCCCCCCTCCCAGCCCCCACACCCCTCCCACCCCCACACACCTACACCTACATACCCCTACACACACATAAGGAGCCAGGAGGGACCACACGCAACTGCATTCACGACTGCGCCCCGCTCAAGTCCGCTCAATCTCTTTCCCACAACACGCCGCGAAGGGGGGCCGTGTAGCACCTCCCATGCTGGAAAGACCAACACTTGAACCTGGAATACAATCGCTTCGCTTTTCCCCAGGCACCCGAGTCCTTCCCAACTGCAGTTGCCTGCGCGGCCAGCTGTCTAGGGCCACCCTCGACTCTCCATGCCGCTGGTGACAGGGCTTAGGCCAGAGCACAAACAACCCCGACTGACCCACGGGTCATTGCAACCTTCCCTGTAGCCCATACCGGGGCCCCAGGACGGGCCAAGGGCTCCAAATCACCCACCCACCCAATGGTTCTGCCCTTCACCCAGATGACAGTTTTGTGTTTCGTTTCATGTACCAGACGTTCATTTAGCTATTGACCTATTGACCGAATCAAGCTTCCTGACGCAGCTTAGTCCACCTAGAGGTAGACAAACCCATCTTAACTTTCATTGGAGACCACATGGAGGCGATACCTTTTAAAGTGAACTGTGCAGACCTGCAACTTTACAACCCGGGCTCTACACTGCCCAACTACCAGACCCAAGCCAATTTCCCCTTCCCAGCTATCTCACCCCCTAGTGAGTCCCCTTGATCCACAGTCCCCGTGACCCAGATGAACCCACCGAATTCAGTATCTGTATCATCTCCAACCTCATCCCCAACCTAGTTGAATCCCCGAAATCCATCATGATTATATCATACATTTCCTTCTAACCTAATAAGTCAGATGAGAAGGTCGCCCTACAAGGGAAGCCCAGCGCAGCTGAGCCCGGCCCAGCCCGTTTTGTTTCAGCCAAGGCCAGAGCATTTCATCCCGTACCAGTCAAGGACAACGCGGGCAAGGAGCTTTTATTCCTGTCAGCACCGGGTGAAGTTGAGATGCCTTGTGCTAGAGGTTCGAGTGTACATGAGGCTGAATGTGGACGGCTTTTGACCCACCGCGTTACGCAGGTACACGTCGGGTACTGTTGTGGCAGTGTCCAGGCGCCCCGTGGCTTTGAGTTCATACCACTCCGCTTCGAAGCACTCGCACGTGCGCGAGAGGCCCATTTTTATGAAAAAGTTCCGCAGAAAGTCATCGATGACCTCCGGTTTTTTCACCACCTGCCCGGGCTGCACCTCCTGTGGCCGAGCACGTGGCGTTGCTGTGTCCTGTAGCATATGGGGGATGGAGTTCAGATCACGCTGAGCGCGAAGCATTGGCTGGTCGCGCTGTCCTGGTTACGCCAGCCCTACCTTAGCTGTGAAGGCTTGGAGCTTTCGCAAAGCCGCATCAAGGTCCTCGCTTGCGTCATCCTCCCCATCACTGCAGCACATCGTAAAGGCCGAGCATCGAACATGCGCGTCCCTCAGCCTTCGACCACCAAAGGGGCAAGCTTTTTTTACCTCATAACATCAACTTCCTCATATTTAAAATCATCGTCTGAGTCCTCCAACCGAAGCGTATCCAGTCCAGGCTCTGCCATGCTTTTACTTCGGGCCGCGCTTTTGATTGCGCAAGCCCTGCTATGCCTTGTTAAACCCTACTAGGTAAGATAATCCAAACCTGTCCTATCATAACATAATATTCTGGGTAGTGCAAATGTTCGAGGTGCCGAAGGAGGACAACGCGTTTGAACTAAGTTGAGAAATTGACAATTGGAAGGTGTAAGTCCATTCTGTCACAAAATGAAAATGAGGTTGGTTCTGTCCAAAAACTGCCGTACATCAACGCATTCTTCCGTTAGCGTGCACAAGCTGAGCAGCACAACAGCTGCAAGAACTTACAAACTGTTTTCTAGAGCCGGAAGACTTATTCTGATCCTAGAACACCAGAGCAAGATTAGAGTTACTGCAAATCGATAGTCGAACCCGGCTTTACCGAGCAAATGCGCATGGTGCGCGCCCGCGGGGCAAAACATTCAGTTCAAGTCTAGCAGCCCTCACCCTCTCAAACCTTATTAAAGCATTGGCTTTCTCTACTCGTCCTCGTCACACATTTCCCTCCTAGTCTCCTTCCGCTTCGTTGCAGTCTCATTTCCTGACATTTCGTCATGCATGTTATCAAGCCTCAACTCGTCTCCCGCTCCAAATGTTCCATTTGCTGTTCACACGACTTCATGCCCTAATCTCCATCCGACTTGCTGTCCAGTCGACGGATATCTACGGGAACTGCCGGTACGGTCTCCAGCACGTGACGGACTGATTCGTGTCGCTCTGCAGCCACTGCCCGCGCGAACTTGAGTAGCGCACCTGCAACAGCCGCCATCAGGACCAGCACCACCACCACCACCACCACCAACAACAACAACAACCATCTATCAGGCGCTGCGCCATCAGGACCAAGGCCAGTAGCACTACATGGCAAAAGATGGGACACTTGCACCTAGATGTCAACACCAGCTACAGCACCGCCACCACCACCCCTAGTAGCACGGGATGCAGCATGCAGGCATAGATTGGTGCAGTTGCAACCACCATCCCGCAGGAGACTCCAGCACCAATTTTAAAACATCGGTAGCACGCTAAGCACTGGTGAGGCCTGCGTAAGGCCCCTTAGACCAGTTGTACGCTGTATGCTCCTAGCGAGTGCACGTACACGCCTTGGGAGTTCCTCAACGGTGGATATGATACATGTATGTTCTGTGTGTTGTTGTTGCTGTTGTATCAGGCCAAACTCCAACACAGCGGCTCCGTTTATATGATCTGTGTCTGCACGTATGTATGTATCTTAACCAAGGCTGTTGTCGCACCTTCAGAACCGGGGCCACGCTCCTCTCCGATACCGTGGTGGCGGTGCGGCTGTCCTTGGTGGTGGCGGTGCGGCAGCACGTGGCTCATCTCCTGAGACTCCCCTGCAACCGCTTGCCGCCTCTGGGTGACCTGCAAGCGTCGGGAGGTAACAATATACGTTATGGAAACATAAGAGTTTAGAATGAACCATGGGTCGATTCAGTTTTCCATTGTTCCAGCATTGTTAGTATTATCAGATACCCCGTAGCACTGGTCTGCATGGGGGGGGGAGCTGGCTGAGAAACCCTGAGGCGGCACAGACTCTTAGAACAGGCTGCTGTAAGACATAGATGGAGCGATATCCAAGGAGCGGAGAGAAGCCGTGGCAAACGTCTTCTAAAACGGCAGCAGTTGAAAGCTTTTAGTGGATATGGTGTACATCCGCAGACCCCAGACATAGGGCAGCATAAAGACGTAAGCGCAGCGCGTCTGCAAACCCTGACCAGCCAGGTCATATCACCGCCATATCACTGCGGACGACGACCTCAAAAACCGTCAGCACAGACGCAACGAACCTCGCCCTTCAGCTCCGCCAGCACTTCGTCTTGTGCCTGCCTGCGCAGCTGGGCAGCCTCTTCCGTGCCCAAGCCGGCTGCGGCCTCCACAGCCGCCAGATCCAACGCACCCGCATCCTGCAGCGGCAGTTGCCGAGTAGGATAATCAAGCTACGGTTAAGCGGTGATAAGGATATGTCACCTGGCCTGCCATTGTGCAAAACCTGTCCCGCATGCTGCCGGCATCTCCGTCGGAGTGAGTCAGAGTGAGTCAGAGTGAGTCAGAGTGAGTCAGAGTGATGTCGCATCTGGAACTGTCCAGATGTGGCATCGCGCACCTCGAGCCCGAGTGACGGGACGGGCCGAGGGACGTGCCGCTCTGCTGCTAGTCTGTCGTGCAAAGATGGGGAGGCAGGGTGCAGTGCCAATCCTTCCGTCTGCTGCTCCTCTTCCTGCGCATGATACTGCGCAGGGGTATCATCATAGCTGGCTTGCGCCGCGAATTCCGGACGGTATGATGGTGCCGTGTTATCCATGCTTTATACGTTGATTTGGTGGAAAGCTAAAAAGCTAGCTCATAAAGTTCACAGTTTTGAAAGGACTGTAGCTGTGTCCCGGAGAAGGTCCTTGCAAAGGTTCCAAAGGCCGTTTTCAAAAAAGCCGTGCTTAATGATCAAGATGCAGGATTGGAATTTAGCGCAGTCGGGAGCCTTTTGCAGGCCTGCGGTATATCCACTAGGAGGAGCACAAAGACCCGGCGGGTCCGCTGGCTTGTAAAGTGACCGATGGTCTGTCGGGCTAAGCGGCAAGCCTCAATACAGTGGTGCAACGGCCATGTGTCATCTGGAGTTATGCCTACGTTGAATTCAGTTGTGTACAATGGGAAATAGGCGGATACGTACGGTAGCAACCGTCTGCCCATTTGTCTTACCTGCCGGATCTATCTAACCATGTCGTTGTCGATGAAAGTTCTTTGTAAACTATCCTCTGGTAAGGCTAAGGACATGTAACTCTTTTCTGACGTATGCACACGACGTTGAGCCATCGGCATCCCAGACTGCACGCATGTTTTCTCTTTTGTACGGTTTTTATGAATACCTATTTCGAAAGGATGAGTTCCACGTCCTAATTCTGGGCGTGGACAAGGCGGGTAAAACCAACGTAAGCTGCTAGTGTTCTTTGCAGCAGCTGAGGACATTCTATGCTGGCTCCTAAATCACTGTCCGCCAACGTTCACTCAGGTCCTGGAGAGGCTAAAAACCATATTTACACAATCGATCGGACTGGACCCTGGCAAAATCTTGCCAACCGTGGGACTCAACGTCGGCCGAATTGAAGCTCATAAGAATAACCTCGTATTCTGGGACCTTGGGGGACAGAGCGGCCTACGCTCGATTTGGGACAAATACTATAGCGAGGCTCACGCCATCGTGTACGTCGTCGATGCAGCCAATCGGAGTCGGTTCGAGGAGAGCAGAGCTGCGCTTGACCGTATGCTGGAGAACAGGGAGCTTAGCGGAGCGCCGCTGCTTATCATGGCCAACAAGCAGGACCTAGACGGGGCAGCTAGCGCACAGGAAGTAGGGCAAGTATTCGGCATCGAGCGTTTGGAGGGGCGGCAATTCAAAGTGTTGCCTGTCAGCGCCTACACCGGGCAGGGCCTGAAAGAGGGCGTTGAATGGCTTGTCGAGACCATCCGGCGAAGCCACAGAGCAATGCGGCTGCGTGCCCGCGGCGCACGATGAATCACGCTCATGTCTCTGCGTTCTGAGTACAGCGGACAAGTCTCAGCATTCAAATTCTCGGGATGGGAAGCGGGTAGAGAGCGGAAGAGAAGACTGCCGCGGCAGGGGAGTTGTGCCCTGGCTGCATGTAATAATGTTTTTCGGGCACACAGCCTAACGAGGCTCGGGGTAATGGGGAGAGATGGGCTACTTCCAGGGCCACGTCACCCCCCGCTGGTGGGTCGTCTGGCGTATGTACGTGTTATTGTAGACCACCAACATGACCCGAAAGTGCAGATGTGTGTGTGTGTGTGTGTGTGTGACAGTGTGTGTGTGTGTGACAGTGTGACAGTGTGTGCACGGGTGCGCGTGTGTGTATATGTGGATATGGGAGTGTGGGCGCGTGTGCTTGTGTTTGCATCGTGCGGGGAGCACATCGCGGTATGTCCTCTGTGTCTATGTCGTACTTTTCATTGGAACCCCCAAGCACACGCACTGTTTGTACGACACGCCTAGCATATTCCGACACGCCTAGCATATTCCGACACGCCCTTGGAAGCGGCGCTTCATGGCCCCACTTCACCTTCCCCCCATACGTTCGATACTGTACCTCGGTTGATTGTTTTGATTGGATGATCTCTGATTGGATCTTGCGCGGGCGGGGCATAGAGGAACACAGCGACACCTGCTGCCGGCTTCCGTACATGCCCGGGTCTGTATTGCCGTACTTCCTGATGTTGTGCGCTACCGTACTTACGGAGCCGCGAATCGCTTTTGGCGGGCAGCGGGACAGACAGAGCCGGAAAAAAAATTGACGGACAGAAAGACAGGCAGACAGACGGACAGATTAGATTGATAGAGAAACAGACAGACAGACAGACGGATAAATGGACAGACGGACGTATCGATAAGAAGGAGGAGAAGAAGAAGAGGGGGCCCCCGTCGTTGTGGCAGATGAGGGGGATCCTTCAGGTGGCTGAACCTGCTTGCATGGAGTGTCTGGGTGAATGGGAAGACTGCACTGCCAGGGGCCTGACTAGCGACCGACCTGGGACTGACAGGCCACGTGACCGGATATTGCTGACTGCGGCCAACTGATGGCCCCTGTACGAGGTGAGGCGAGACAAAGGCGGGGGGCTGGAGCTGAAGGGGGGCCTGGAGCTGAAGCTGAAGCTGCCCTCGGGGCCCTCGAATGGGCTCCGTTACCACCTCTGATGTGACTTCTGGGGGCTGGAGGGTTATTAGAGGGGGTCCCATGAACCCGCGCGGCTCTCCGGTATGGGACTTTTCATCTCGGTAATGTGTTGCAAGGTACAATACATGATATAAATGCAATGTATGCAGACAAACAAACACACACACACACGTATATATACATGTATATTGTGTTTGTTTTTGTGTGTGTGTGTGTGTATGTGCGTGTGTGCGTGTTTGTGTGTGGCACGTCCATAACACATGTACAGCCTGTGAACTAGTGCCGTACGATAGTCTGTATTGATGATGGGTTTTTGGTAATGTAGCGGTGGTGCTGTAGTGGTGGTTATTGTGACGGTTATCGTTGTCGGTTTGTACGGACAGCATGGACAGCGTTACCAGGAGCGCTCTCAGCGGTGTCCAGGAGTGAGGGGGAAAAACGCGGGTACGCAGAATGCGACAGTTGCCCCACCGACACCGTAACATTAATTTTAACTGAAATCGGTCCCCCAGGGGGGGGGGCCCTCCACGGTTTTGATGGAGCCCCCTCTCCGTCCCCCACTCGTGCGGACACTGTAAATATGTAAACCAGAATGTGTAGCAGTGCACAACAACATCAAGTTCTTTCTTTCCCCCAAAAGAAAAGAAAAGGGCCCAAGGCGGGGGCGGACCTCTTTGTGAAAGAGGTAGTGGTGTTGACGGTGTAAAAACTGATATGTTTGGCCATACCATCATCCTACCCGGTCGCTCTTTTAAGTACTTCGTGTAATGCACGTCTAGTCGACGCCACACATCAACGCCAGCTTGCATTCCTTTCCGATGTCCTCCGGAGCTTGTCTCGTGTGTTAGGCACATGTGCACATGCACACAGATAGCGAATATATGGCGAATATAAGTTGATTTAGCTGTTCTTATTTATATTTCAGGTTGGAAGGATTACCGATCACCAAACAAACATGCGCACAATAATTGACACCTTTTCCTGACGAAGACAGGGGAGAGAGATGAGATTTCCTGACAAAGCGGCATGCGTCCTGCTTAGCACGATTTTGTTAGCTGTTTGCTCGCTCGGGAAACTGCCTGATCTACAAGCCTCGCAGCCATGCGGCCAGTGTCCACTGAGCCAGTAGCCGCCACTCTCACAAACGATGACCCGTGGCATTGTGGTAACTGCCGTACAGGCGCCGTACAATCGCGTGACTGTGCGACGGTTATGGGGTTGGGGCCTCTCGTTTTGCAGTGTACCATGTCCCGACAGCTCTTTAGGCGGCGGGCAGCTAGACACCCCAGCTGCCCATTCACAGCTCTCAAAAGTACAGCAAATCTTTGAGGCACCGCCCGTAACGAGTACCCGTGGATAACGTCTTTCAAAAGGATGCTTATCATCCTTTTCGGATGAACTGACACGAATCCTTGATCACACTAGTGAAGGGGGAAACACATATTTATTATACTTAAAGTCGTTGAAAAAAAACGTAAAACTCATAAATCCCTCATGCCGTACACAAGGGGGGAAAGAATGGGCCATTGCAGCAAAACAACGCCGTAGATCACTGCAAGAAATAGTGCATCCTAACATGCATAATGAACTTCTCATAACTTGTTTTTCTGGGACTCCGACTGCACCCAGAACCCTTTCAGAGCTACGATTTGAGCACTTTGAGCGGATGAAGGCTTTACAATGGCTGTGTGTGGCAAGCACAGCCATGCAAGGAAAGTAGCTAAAGCAGCTCAAGACATGCTATTTCACCCATCTTTGCAAGATGTGTATGGGTTTGACGCATGTGAGCAAGGATTCTTGGCTGGACGGGTTGCAAGTTGCAAGTTGGGGGGCACCGGGACTCGTTTTTTAGTTGGTTGAGAGGTGGCCCCCTGGGGGCAGGTATAGTGTTTTTTGTCTGCTTGTAGGCCCTGAGGATATTGCCAGGCTGTGATGAAGGGCTACAGCTCCCACATCATCAGCAGGTGGAGCCACCCACCTAGGGTGTGCAGGGAGAGCCGTCCAAGATTAAGGGCGGCTTTCTCTGCAGGATCTTTCTGGCCAAGGGAGTGTCGCAGTCCTGCAGTGTCACCAAGGGGATGTGTCATGTGCCTGCATTTATCCAAGCACATGCCACCTGCCAACAAAGCCTAGCACTTTGTGAGAAGGTTGGGGCCATGAAATTGGGAATTACTGGTTTCCGTTGTGGTGTGGTGCTCCCCTGGGGGGGATGATAAGGTCTTTTGCTTGTTTGTGGACATGTGGGTTGCTCGATGGGGTGTGGGGCCATCACTGCAGGTGGAGCTTCCACACCTATGTGTGGTCCACACCTTAGCTGCTCACGTTTCATGGCTTAAAAACTTTTCATGTCCCCCTCCCTTTGCCTTTTCCTTTGCCATTCCCAGAAATGCCATCTCTCCATTGGCCTGCAATGGCCTGCCACCTGGGAGAAGTGGAGTGCTGGCCCGTCTGACCAATCGGCCTACCTACGGGTCACACCACAGAATACATCTATATATGTTTTACAAGGCAGCTGTGTTATAAAATGGGCATTGCGCAGTAGGCTACGGCCTTTTCACGGATTTAGGGAAAGGTTCCATGCCCTGAACCATGCGGGTCATAGGGCCCTACTGCCCCCCAAACACATGCCCCATCCAAGCATATCTGCAGATCCAAACCTCCTGTGGACTTCATCACCCGAGTGCCCCAGAGGGACCGGGTGTCAACGGTGGCAGTGGTGGTGGTGGGCAGCAGTGGAACACGAACCCAACAGACAGCATCAGGTCACCGTCGACTCACAGCTCAGTGACCCATGGGTCATCATCACCATGTCGCCCAATCCACGCATCATGTGACAAAACATCCGACGACCCCTGGTCGGTTCAGCTCCCGCCATCAGTGTCTGCGATAAACAAAAAGCGTCTCCTCCGTTTCCTTATTCTCCTCCTCTTAATCCTCATTCTCAACCCCTCGCCATGTCGAGCTCACTAGCCGCTCCCGGCGCGCCCGCGTACGAACTGCTCTTGTGCTTGGCAGTGAATGAGGTGATGGGGGCGGGAGGTGGACCCAGAAGCATCTCACTGATCCGGATCCAATCCTGTACGGCAGTGTGAAAGTGGAAGTACGGAGGGGGCCAGGTGGGGACGCTGCGACGGGACCGCCGGTGAGGCCGAGGGGACCGACGCGGGTGGGCACGTGTTCTGTAAAACACACAGACACACACACAAACACATACGGTGTCTACCCCCCTTTCACATATGCACCGCTATGTTCCTTACTACATATGTATACACGTCCATACATACGTACACACAGGCATACACACACAGCCCTTCTCCCCGCCAGGGCCCCCCCACCAACACCACTCGCCTGGGGCTCTTCAGAGGACATCAGCGTCTCCAGCTCGCTGCGCCCTCGGAAGGCCGGAGGGCGGTGGTTCATGTGCTGGGGGAGGACCTCCAACAACCCAACCGGGACGTACCTGCAAAGAGAGCGAGAGAGACCGGACAAAACACACACGCGTGCGTGCGTGTGTGTATGTATGTATGTATGTATGTATGTATGTATGTATGTATGTATGTATGTATGTATGTATGTATGTATGTATGTATGTATGTATGTATGTATGTATGTATGTATGTATGTATGTATGTATGTATGTATGTTGTTACAGGGTGGTCAACTTCGCCAGCGGCCCCCTTTCCCGGGGCAGTCCCTGCTCTCCCCTGCTAGAGGGGCACCCTAATCCGTCACCCCATCCGACTTCAGAATGTATTCGTTGGGTTCGCACTCACCACCAGCATCCAACCAAATCTAGCGGATCAACGGCGCATCAACTTAGTTCCTGGTCAGCTCGCAAGTTGATATTATCACGTCCTACACCGTCCATAAGATGGGGGGCCACCTCCCATTTCATCACTCCTCAAACACCCGAGGAGCCGGCAGGCGGATTTGAACCCGGGTCGACTGGGTCGACTGGGAGCAGAAGTCAGGCCTTAACCTCTGCCAGCCGCCTGCCATATGTATGTATGTATGTATGTATGTATGTATGTATGTATGTATGTATGTATGTATGTATGTATGTATGTATGTATGTATGTATGTCCGTACGTCGGTCCGTATGTATGTACTTCCGACTGCCCGTGTCTCTCTGCATGTGCCAGTACTGGGTATGTCACAGCCGGAGTGTATTGACCATTGCCGGATCCAAATAAAGTCCAAGTTGCCCCAACAGGCAACACGCTTGAGGAAGGGATTCTCCCCAAACCCTAAAACACCCTCCACCAAGACTCGAACCCGACTTTTTCCGCAGACTCCTCAGCATAAGGATAATATTGTTGCGACTTATGGAGTGGTAAAGCTTAAATCAAGTGAGGCGCAAATAAAGCCCCTAAAAAGTCTCTCTTCATGATACACAGACAGACAGACAGACAGACAGACGACACCGCGGCTAAGATCGCTTAAAACACACACACAAACACGACCACCTGCGGCTTCCCACCTGCAAGTGAATGACAGCCACTCCAGCAGGAACCGTCTCGTGGTCTCAACCCCACGGCCGTCACTGCCCCAGTGCTCCAAACCCGCCGTACAAAACTGCTTGTACAAATCCAGCCGCTCCGAAGCCGAAATGTCCCAGTGACGCTGCTCCTTAATCTCTGAGGTCAAGAAGGGTCGAAGGCGTGTTTAGATTTCCAGGACTTGGGAGTTGGCAACTGTAACAACCGTCGATAATGAAACCAAAAACACCGTACATTTGGAAGGACGAGGAGAGCAGCGGAAATATCAAAGATTAGGTCATACAGCAGCGATAGTAGTACGGCAAGAGTACGAAGCTTGTCGTACGTGAATATGTTCGTACCTGTGAATATCCATGGTTTGATGAGAGCACCCCTCCCAATCATAATGGAAGCGAGGGAGCCTCCCCCCTCCCCCTCCGTTTCGCGTCTGTCCATTTGTCTGTTCCAGTCGAGGTACGAGAACACGTCACCGTTGCCAATCAGTTGAAGACCCGCTTCGGAGCAAGGCGCAGCGCAGCTGTTGTTGTTGTTATTGTTGTTGTTGGTGTTGTTGGTGTTGTTGTTGTGGGTGGTGGTGGTGGTGTCGACACGCCGTGAACATTGCCACGCCAGGAGGGAAAGCCGCCACAGGCAGCAACCGCCGCGATAAAAGGAGTCAAGTGGTTGGAGCGGTTATATCAGCAGCAAAGGGTGAAGGACTGCTAACAAAATGCATACGCAGATACATACATACACACTAATAGGTTAGGCACTACTGGTAAGGCACGGACCATCGTCCCCGGGAGATCCCGGGATCGAGACCTATCAGGGTCGAAAGACCTTCCGATGGGGGAGAGTAAAGTGCCCCCCCAGTTGATGGACGGTGGTGACCTGCGATAAAGTTGACTTGCGAGCCGACCAGGAACGGAGTTGGGCCACCGTCAATCCGGCAGATTCCGTTGGATGCCGGTGGTGGGTGCGGAACCTAAGCGATCCACTATGAAGATGATCAGGGTGACTAGATGAGGGTGCCCCGAAATACCGGGGAAGACAGGGTTTCGCCGGATATATCTGCCGCAGGGTGAAGATATGACCCCCTGTCCCACACATCATACACACGCTAACCCCCCCACACACACGCCCGTACACACATACATACACACACACATGACGGTTTCAGTTCCAGATCCTGCCCCCAAGCCCCCATCCCGCCATATTCCGTCACAAGGCGATAACAAAAACCGCAACTACCAACCGTCAGTAACCGCCATAAAAAAGAGGTCGCCAGATGGGCAACGAATAAACAATTATATATTAGTTGGTTGGTTGGTTGGTTGGTTAGTTAGCTGCATCTTGCCTCGAACTCACCGTTGAATGTAATCCCAGTCAGCGAGCTTGCTGTACCGCTGCTGACGTGTACGACCATGCAACGTCACCGCCGCCGCGCCCCACCCCGCAGCCTTGGGGAGAAACGTGTGGGCCACCTGGGGGAGCACAGGGGCGCTTGTACGGCATACACACGTGTACGACATACACATGCACTATCGACACATGTGCCCCAACAAATACTTCACGCAGATCATACATGCCGTACTGGCTCTGTTCATGATGTCGTCAGTTACACTTTTCCCCTCTCAATTTCCCTCCCCCCTCCCCCCTCCCCCCGACACATACACATACACATACACATACACATACACATACACACAAACGCAAGAAAAAGCCCGCACACCATACAAGTGAGCCAAATCCCTTCCCCCTCAACCCCCACACCCACCCTCCCTACCCCCAAATTCAAAATCCCCAGTCCAAGGCCCCCAAACAAACCAATTTTAATTCACCATCACCAAGTATAATACATCATTACATAAAACACTCACTCACATCTTCCCCGTCATTGAAGCCCTTCCGTGTCTTGAAGGTGAGCGGGATATCCCCCAGGGCCGCGGAGGTGGCGCGAAGGATCTGCTCGATGCGGCGGGGCTGGCGGAGCAGTGCCGACCCGGCGTTCTTGTCGCACACCTGGGAGGACGTGCGCGCGTGTGGGGTTGTGTATGTATGTATGCATGCATGCATGTATGTATGTATGTATGTATGTATGTATGTATGTATGTATGACATACATTGTATGTATGTATGTATGTGTTAACGATCTGAGCCGCGGGGCAGCAACGTGGCGAAAGGGGGATGGCACAGACGAGGGTGGGGTGTCTGTCTGTCTGTCTATCTGTCTGTCTGTCTGTCTGCATCAAGGGATGTACAGCCAGCACAGGGCGATCCCTTTAAATCCCGAATTAAACCCCCCTCTCCCCCTCTTCCCGCCTTTCCGGCCCTCTCTCCCAAGTTTTTGTCTTCCCCCTCCCACCCCCACCCCCGCCCACACCCCCACCAGGTCAATCGGACACCCCATGTTGATGTCCACAAAGTCGACCACCAGCCGCTCGTTCAACAACTGACCCACTCGCGCCAGCGCGTCCGGGTAGCCGCCGCACACCTAGGTTTGTATGTATGTATGTACACATGCACAGGTTACAAATTACGATTGTGTAATGCAGACCAGTTCGGCAGGTACGTATGTAGGTATGTATGTACCTATGTGGGCCTCCCAAGGAGCAACAGAAACAACTGCCGGGGACCGCAGCCGCGCGGGGGGAATGAAAGGGAAAACAAATAATGACACAGAGGAGAGGGGCGGCGGCGGCGGCGGCGGCGGCGCAGCCTGAGGGCCTGAGGGCCTCCGCAAAGGACGCAGCTGCACAGTCAACTGCTGAGTCCCTCATCTCCGTCGCATCAAGTAGAGCTACATCAGAGGCGCCTCCTCCGGACTGACTGACCCACGGGTCACACAGTGACAGCCAGGGAGAGCACACAAGCACGAGTGCCTGCCCCTCTAATCTACCCAAGGCACTTAATGACCAAGTCACAGTTCACCATCACCGTCACCATCACTGTCACCGTCATCAGCACCATCACCATCATTACCAATACCATGCCACTCCCCCCCACCTCCTCCCCCACCTGCACTCCGAACAAGTCCTCGCAGGGGTGCCGCTTCAGGAGCGCCCACTCCGCCGCCTGGCCCTGCAGCAGGTTGGTGGCCAGAGCCATCTCGCCGCAGGTCACATCCACACCCAGGGACTTGCACACGCGCCTGCGAACACGAGGTTGGACATACATACACACATACATACATTCATACATACATTCATACATACATACATGTTCCCGCTCCCATACACATCATTTCTCCCCCCCGGCTCCCGCATCCCCCATTCTTCTTGTTCTCACAAGTCCGCCCTCAAACACATACCAGGACTTAGGACACATCTATACATAGCCTAACAACATCAGGAAAAGAACGAAGAGAAACGTGCGATCTACCAAGAACTCCCTGTCGCTAACCACCAACTGCCAACTGCCAACAACCTACCTGAAAGGCAGGTTGCCCACCGTTGTGAGAGGGGCCAGGTAGGTCTTACCACGGAAGTCCAAGCGGCGGCGCTCACACTGACGTACAGGCAGCTCCACATAGGCAGCACGTGACTCCGAAACCACTGCCGCTGCTGTCATCGCTGCCGCCGGCGGATGCTGTTCCGCCGCTGCCGGGGGGCCCGTCGCCGCATCGTTGATAGCGGCGCCGTCAGTGCGTTGCCGCTTCGCCGCCGGCCCATCGGCGTCGACGTCAGCGCCGCCATCCGTGTCGCATGTCGCCGCCGTAACGGCTGCGGCGCCGCCGTCCGGTGGCGCAACCGCGGCGTCGACATCTATTTTCATGACATCTTCACCCTCATTCACCTTCGCTGGCGCCGCCACCTCCGCCACCTCCGCCGCCGCCACCTGCGGCGGCGCTGCACCAGCCTGCACCGCCGCCGGTTCACGAGTACCCTCCTCCTGCTGCTGCTGCTGCGGCGGCGGCGGCAGCTCCGGGTCATTGTTTCCGAGCTGCCGCCGGGCCGACTCTACGGGCACATCGCCGCCACCGCCGCCGCCGGCGACAGCTCCTTCGGCAGCCTTCTTGCCGCCGCCGCCCTCGTTCCTCACTTCTTCTCGAGTTGGCTTAGGTTGGTGCTTGAAGGAGATGCGTAGAGACATGGACTTGAGGATCCCGTCAGCACGATTGAAGTCGTACCTGCGTAGCCGTACATATCATCGTACTGGATTAAACAAGCAAACAGAAAAACATGCCTGCGTCCTCAGCAAACTTTTCCTATTATGTGTGCAAGATAATGACAACGGTCGGTCTATCTCCGGTTAAGCAGTTAGTTGGGTTACCGACTCCACGTCATGTGACCTAACGGAAAGCCCTCCGGTCTCTGTCACTGCCCCAACGCGAACGGGCCGTGGTGGGTTTAGGTGGTGTTAGAATGCTCGACATCTCATAAACCCCTCCCTCTGGTCTCTTCTGCCCTTGTCTGTCTGTCTGTCTGTACCCCTCACCCACACATTCCCCGCCGTACCCATGCCATTTCCCTCTTCAAGAAACAACTCCTAACCACTAACCGCCAACCATCAACTGCCAATCGCCGCATACCGGTTTTTCCAGAGCAACGCCTGGACGTCCTTGCTCAGATAATTTATTTCCTTCTCAATCGAGCTGGGCAACGGTAACGGTAATAACGATAACGGAAGAGCGGCCGTCGCGTCCTCTACTCCCGGTGCTGCTGCGCTGCCATTCCCGTTACCGTTGTTACCGTTGTCATCGTGGTCCTTAGGGTCGCTGCCAGACGGTGGCGCCGTTGAGGCGGTTGACGCCGACTCCATCAACGTCACCCTCAACGTTTTGTGCAGCTCGTCCTCTGACGCATGACCCATTGCATAACGACATGTGATGCCTAGGTGGGTCGGTACACAGACAGACAGATAAACAGACAGACAGGGGTACGGGCGGGCATCTATAAAACGGCTGAGAAGAGGGATTAGGAAAGAGCCACACACGCCCCTCCTTTCCCCCCTCTCCTCCCCCCCTCCAAACGCGATCTTGGCATTAGAAATAGGGAGTAGGCATTTACAACATTTGCAAATCAAATCGAAACCTTACCGTACGGACACGTGGCCTGTACGGCAGTCCAGGGGCACATCCCCGGCAGGTCAGCAGGTTTCGACTTGATGTACTCAACCAGATCGTGGCTAAACTTGCAGCGGTCGCCCCACGTACACCGCCCCAGAGCGTAGTTGGTGCAGAGCTCAGCCTGGCGGCCTCCATCGCGGACACCCTGTCGTACATTTGCACGGCACAAAACGCCACTCACACACAAAAGTTTATATTATAAAAAAATCGTTACATGCATACTACTTACATCTAATTATTATATATTTATATATAGTTATTAAACATGCTGCATATAGTTATCACTATATCATAAATCCTCTTTGATCCTCTTTTTTAAAACCGTTTCGATATGGGACGGTCTGACCGCTATAACAGCCTGGGCAGTAAGACTGGACTATTAGTGGGTTATTTAACACAGCGGACAGATTAAATTTGGAAGCGGGATTAGCCAGCCACACGTTTCTTGGTGCCGTGAGCCGACCGAGGGCGACTGGGTGTGAACACATTTGGACATACATACGGACACACATACATGCAGACACACTTACATGTATATCGACACATTTGTACGGATACACGTGTGTGTGTACGAACGTTGGGGGTAGGTAACATTAAAAAATTGTTAGAGGGACCTTCAGCAACGTCAACGACCTGGCATGGCAGGCTTAAAATGGCGATGATAGTATTGATGGTGGCTAAAATTGGTGGTTCGCTCCGTTCTTAGAAACGCATTACGCCAGCATAGAATAGATGTGTTGCCTGACAGAAGAAACCCTGGCGTTGCGTTGTAGTGGACGGTACGTTCCCATCGCCAAGATAAAATGCTACGTCTCCAGACTGAGATGTTTCTAATTACAACTCTCTGACTTACCTTTCGCATCTGCTTTCGTGATTGGTTTCTGCTCTGCTCCTGCGCGCGGTCCTGCTTTTGCTTGCCGGCGCCACCGGCAGTACCGGTGCCGGCGCCGTTATTAGTCAGTGGTTCAACGTTCGCGCCGTCGGCAGGCGTAGTTGGGGGCTGTTCCTTCTTTTGTGATGGCACCTGCGATGGCGTCCGCGATGGCGCCTGAGATGAGAAGCATGCTCTTGCGCCTTTCCTCCGGCGCCAGCTCAAAGGAAAGGCTTGTTTAACCGAGCTCGGTATCAAATGAATAAGTATAGCGGTATCTGCTGAAACTTATAGAAGCTTACCTTCCGAATGAGGAACTCAGCCTTAACCGGAACAATGCAGCGCTCAATCATTTGCTGAGCTGTCAGCAGCGGCGCAGAGCCGATAGCCTCTTCAGATTTCACCTCCATATCAGGTTAGTAGTCGTAAAGTCAAGCAACAAGGCGGCGTTTGGGGCGGTGTGGACACTGCAGGTAACCGAGGGCTAAACCATGAAGTTGGGTGTCAACACAGAAGAGTAAGAAAGTTGAGGAGTCATTAAATTGCATGATCAAGTAGATGTTTTACTACCGTGGAGCGATGGTGGTTAACTAACAGCTTCCGTTAGGACCACAACAAAACTACCTTCTCAACCTACAAGCGAACTCAGATGGGCCCTGCGGGCACAGGTCAACGGTCCCATGATAAATTTCCTCTTATACTCTGGTACATTTATTAGGACCTTGCAGCATTAATTTAACTTGCGATTTGCCCTGACATCGGACTCAGGGTTTTAACTCCCTGAAGACTATATAAAAAGATTTAAACAAACCAGCTCGTGGGTTGAGAGGTGGGTTCGCGGGTGGAGCGGATGGAGGGGGATGGAGAAGTGAATACAGGGCCAGGTCTGTGGGTTCGGGGGGCCGAGTACGTTGGTAATTATCAACGACACCCCGTGGTGTGAAGGTGCTTCACTACCGTACGCACTGCACCGTATATGCTGCAATACGGGGTCTGGTCATGAGCTCAGATGCCCAAAGGCACATTAGAAGAGCGCCCAATGGCTGGCAGGATGGCTGGCAGGGTCTCCTTAAGACTTCTTCACGACCTTTTCCGAGCCCTTCTCGACTCCATGTGTCATCGATTTTGCGCCGCTCCACCAGGTGAAAGCACACAAGATCGGAACAAAATAGATAGAATAAACATTCCGATCATTTACATAGTTCAGGTGACGTTTATCGTCGCGAATAGAGACGCCGATGCGACGCGGGACGATAACCAAAGCTCTGAATATTGCTTCCCCCCGTAAAGATGCATTAACTACTATTGTTCACGTCAAAATTCGTTATGCGTAAGTAAAAAAGATATAAAAAGTCAGCACAGCTTGCGAGTATCTTTTTTCCCGTCGAGTGTCCGAACAACACAACCCGGATGCATCAGCGCATAGAGCTTTAAACTACCTAGCAAAGAGCACAATTTGCCAAATCAGGAGCCGCCCTGCAAAGGAAAAAACAGGGCCGCCACCACGCAACCAAACCAAATTCCGCTTTTGAGAGAATCGGCAGTCTCTTGTTAACTTGGCAGGAAAGCCCATGAAGGCGAAAACATGTACGACAAACTGTCACACGCCCGAACCAACGAATTCAACCAAGATTCAGCCCCGACAAGAAATTCGCTTCCACTTCATGCTCACTACTAACTATTCGGAGGGGGCGAGCGGCAAGCGGCAAGGACAGCGGAGTGGTTTAGTGGAGGGAGGAGGAAGTGAAGAGGAAACTGTGGATGAGCCTATCGTACAGTCGTACGAACACGCGTTTATGTCTTTGAAAAAACCCAACCATGGAGGTAGTCATGCAGGGCAGGCCAAGGCCAAGCCATCCAAGGCAACCAGGCACGCACGCAACCCCACAATACAGGTGGTGTGGTGTGCCCATGATGCGATTGTACGGCAGGGTACGGCAAGCTTCGTATGTGCTGGTTTGGCCCGAGGCCCGAAGACAATTGTTATGGATATCGGTCTATGGTGTCAAACAGCATGAGTCATACAATTAGGGCAGCTGGTCAGTACAACATGTTGCCCACAGTAACGGTACCACAGCTGTTACGGAACTCCCTGAACAAGTTGAGTACGATGACAAACACAGCCTAGGAGGTTCTTAAACATGCAGGATATTCTTACCACTGGACCAGATCGGTTATGTACGGTGTCGTATGTACGGACGCACGTTTCGTACGCCCAAGCCAAGATTAGTTATGTACACGAAAAGACACGTAACAGACAGCTCCTTTATGTCTATCCCTGAACAACAACAACACCAACAACAACACCAACAACAACACCATCACCTCCTCCCGCACATAACTGCGAACCGGACGACAAAATGTAATGTCACTCACCCAAGTAAGTAGCCAGACGACTGATGACAACGTGCACGAATGCCGTACATGTCGTACACCGAACCCGACTTGTACGCTAAATTACGAATCATGCTGCGGCTGCGCTTGCATCGCCATCACCGGTATTGCGGCTTTTGCTCTTCTGGTGTCGGGGGTCTCACACCGTAACACCGTCAACACTCCTTGACTACCGCTTCCCGTCTCTCCTCAACCTCCTTCCAACAGTAACACCCCTCCCCCCGCTCTTGCCCATGTCCCTCTTGGCCATAAAACAAACTAAGACAGGCGCCTCGGCGAGTTGCGGCCGCTGCTGCTGCTGCTCATCAATTCTTCATGATCACAGAAAAACATGAACAGACAGACAGACAGACAGACAAGTACACAGACATAGATGCACGCTATTGCCTATATCTTCCCTCTCACCCCGCACAGGGCAAGGAAGGAAGGAAGGGCGAGAGAGAGAGAGAGAGAGAGCTCATGAGGCCGGCTAGTAGAGCTGCTCCGCAGCTTACTCCGCACCGCTCCGCTCTATCACATCGCTGTCCAAGCGCCCTAAGGCCCCGTATCTGCTCATCACTTCTACGCCTACGCCCTCGTCTCCACACGCTTCGTGAGCCTCGCATCGGAACAGTTACGCTCGTTAATTAGGCAGCGTGTACGGCACACTTGCACAATCAGTTCACACAGGAGAACGCTACAGGAGCTTGCACAGACAACTGCTCGTTGAGTTTGTTGGGAATGCAGGAACATGAAGCTACATGACGGTGAAACATTTTTAGGTGGCGAGCGCTGAAGTACGGCAGGTACGGCGAGATGCCTGACAAAGACGCGCACAGAAGGGGGTCGCACACACGCACGCACGCACATGCATACAAACAGGCTAACTGACCCAAACATGCAAATAGTTTTGGGGTAAAAATTATGCACAGACGGACAGACAGACAGACAGCGGAGATGGAAGGGCAATAAAAGGCACGAAGGCGCGCAAATACTTGGATACAGATACGTATGCACGCGGACTATCATGAGTTCAAGTCATGACGTTAGGTTCTTATCATCACATCATTAACCGAAAAGTTCGTTTAATTGGTAAAGCATTAAAATGTACCCATGCCCACACGCACGTCTAAAAAAAAACCCAGCACACACTCTTCGGTATTGTCCGAAATGCCTTACCTCCCCCCCAAACTCTTTCCCCCCAAGCATTTCAACACCTCAACAAGCCTCACAACTCAGACAACACAACAATCCGCCCTGTGCTGCGACAAAAACGCACAAACGTATTACCACCCATTTTGTATTCCCACCCCCCAACCTCCGACCCAGTTCACAACACGTAATGAATATCCTAAAATGTCTTGTGACCTGTTAATGGTCTAGTAGACATGTTGACATGCTGCTGGCCTTTCAGTAATGCATCTGAGCATCTAACCTTCCTAATCCGAACTGTACGGCCCGTACCGTACTTGTTGACGTATATTCGTACACCTACACAGTCCTTGGCCGTCTCTACTACAGCTACTGCGACTATTGCTGCTACTGCTGTTGCTACACTGCACATCACATTATCCTCATCATTTAATATCATTAACATCAGCCCTCTTACCCCTCCTCTGAGCCGACCGCGCCGCATGGCAGTCCCCACTTTTCACTGCAAGCGTGCCGTAGCAATACCGTACTCTACCCCGGTTGCCGTACTGTCATCATCATCATCATCATCATCATCGTTGTCGTCATCATGATGATCCTGGCTTGCCCAGCCAACAACATTAGGACCCACCATCATGTGACGAGATGCAAAGAGGATAATGGGGTAATGGGAAATTCGAAAGAAACGTAATGCCTACTGTCACCACAACCGGCGACGAGCTTACGAGTGAAGACGAGTCCCCTACACAATACGAACCCAACACAAGAGTGAAAGACACTTAATATTTTATGTGTCATGCCGACAAAACCACCACCATCACTACCGCCAGCACGTCATCATCATCATCATCATGAGAGCGGAGGTATGGTGCGAAATGTCTTGATGTAATGCCGCTGCTGCAAAAGGTAATGCAAGGCCTTGATGCCCCAGCGAGGGCTGCAAAATGCAGTACACGTACATAGATACATACATATTTGCTTGGAGAGGCAACAATAATCTAAATATGCATATGCAGTCATACGTACGACAGTCTGCCATTTCCCCTCCCACCCGCGATACACACACAGATACACAAACACGGTTTGAGGCCCCCATCCAACCGGCCCCTCACCCCCCGACCATCCCCTCTTCTCCGCCACCCGCTGGTGGCCCAATACCCAACTTCAACAACCGCTCAACGCACTTACATACATATGCACATACATACAGCAGGGGGGAAAACCATCCCTCGATCGCGTTTCACATCGCCACGGAGCGCAACACGATGAAGATGAAGCGTGCAGATCTCCCTTCCACGCCCTACCCTTCCCAAGGCTACCTTCTTAGGTCCGTTAGTTGTTCGTTGTTCGTTGGTAGTCCTCGTACGGGCTCGTTCGTTACGCCTTGCTTACTCGTTCAGTTGGCACAATACATGTTTTCAACTCTCTCTCCACGTCTGTCTCTCTACCTCGTGCATTTCCCCGTTGCTCCCGCCGCCCTTGGCTATCCTCTTCCGCCGCCGTACCCGCACCCGGACTCGCGCATGGACCCCAGAAATCCCGAGAAACATTCCCGAAGCTCAGCCCGGCGATGGTGGGTCGCGCGCGGCAGGCACCTTGCTGTCCTAATCCCGCACCTTCCTAACCAGATCCACAAAACGCCGCCTCCACCTCCTCCGCCACCTCCCAGCCCAATATTCTTCGCGCCCTTACCCCCTTGTACCTGCCTCTCGTAACAGAGGTCGACTGCTACAGCCGGTCCTCGCAGCCCCCGCAGAGCGGAACGCAACAAGCCGGAGCTGTCGATTCCCGCCGCCTTTCCCTAAGGACCCAACTTGCCGCCACCACCGCCGCCGTTTGCGGCATCACCCCGCTGCAGCAGAGGCGCAGCGGCAACTGGAGGAGGGCGAGCTTCGCCGGCATCGCCAGCACCGTCGCTTCACAAACAGACAAAGTCAACGGTATTGATGTCGTACTTGAATAAATTAGCGGCGGCGCGTTGGCAGCCTCCCTGTACGACAAAGGTGCTCTTCGCGCCGTTGACGCCAAGGGGCGACAGGGCAGACGCTGCATCGCCGCGGCCACCCGCTGAGTTGTTTGTGAGGGCCACGCGCCCCAACGTCGCCGCCATGAGACCTCCAATGAACAGCGCGCCACCGTCGCCATGGCTGGCGACGTTGCCCTCGAAACTGCAATCTGCTACATCAACCTCCACAGTCACGAGCTGCGTCTGTAGACGCGCCTGTCGGAGGTGTAGCTGCTGTAGCTTCGGGTCGGCAGCCTCATCGAAGAGTTGTCCCCACTGTGCCGCCGCCGGCGGCATAGCGTGTGTTGGTGGCTCCGGCGGCTGGTCCGCAGCGGCTGGTTCTGGTGTCGTACCTGTCGTATCTGGCAGCATCGTTGCATCCGCTACGATTGCGACGCCGCCGCCGCTGCCAACAGCGGTGTTATTTTCAATGTCCGTACCGGATAAGCGTACGACAGAAAGAGAGCCGGTGAGAATGCCGCCGCCGTTTTCTTTGTTCGCGACGTTGGAGTACACCCTGCGCGTCCATGGTGGTTAGTAGTTAAAAGAATGTTTTGCTTCTGTTTCAGTTGGTAGTTGGTGGAGACGTAATAGCTTTTGTAGAAAGGGTATATGATAAAACCGGAGACTAGGATGAGCCGGGACTGGTACACACACGTACGCACAGGCCGCAGAAGCACCCCAAACGTGCGGTTGGTACAATAAAAAAGTCCGGCAAAAATGCGGCAAAATGTTAATCTTACTATTGTACGATCAAATTCGTGATACGATGCCGTGTCCTAAGGACAAATCCCGAGGTTCACAAAATCCTATGTTATGCCACACACTTTACTTAGGGTCATTTCTTTCACCTCGTACGACACCTACCCAGAGGACTGAAGCTCCAACGCGGCTCCAAACCTGGCGGCGGCGAGATCCGTCGGTGGACGAGCTGCCACTGCGCCGCCTCCTCCTGCAAGGTTGCCTTCAAAAAAACAACCATGCAGGCCCACCATACCACTCGTCGTCGTCGCCAGCGCGCCGCCTTCGACTTGCGCTTTATTTCTATCGAACGTCGAGTTGCGAACGAGTAACGCATGCCACCAAGCGCCGTTCAGCCCATGGACCTCCACCTCACTTGGGACGTTGCTCGCCGCGTCGACTGCCATCGCCCCCCCCGAAAACCCGGCAGTGTTGCCTAAAAAAGCACTGGCCTCCACAAGCGCCGTACAAAGCGCCAGGAACAAGGCGCCGCCGTTACCGCCAGCGGCATCACCAAAGGGGCCAGCAGCGGTATTGCCAAGGAAATAGGAGTGGGAGATGTCTGCGTAGCAGGAGCCGCGCACTCGATAAAGCGAATTCCGATCCAAGGCGCCCGCTGGCATGCCTAATCTGGCAAGGCCAGTGTCGCCACCATCGCGGCCGGCAGCAGCGGCCGGCAACGGCGGCAGCTGTCCCGCCGCCGCCTTCGCCGCCGCCGCGGCAGCCGCATCCACTGGGCTCCAAATGCCCTCGTCGTTCGATAGTCCCGCTACCGCCACAGCGCCGCCAACACCAGATCCAGATCTAACACCGCCAGGTTGAGTTGCTGGCGCCGCAATGTAACTGTCGCCGCCAGCAGTGTTGTTCCTGATCAGGCAATCCGCGATGGCCACGCGTATGGCGGCTGTGGTACCAGCAGCCGCTAGTACGGCACCGCCGGCGACGCCCGCGGTGTTCTGCATTAGCTCGGAATCCACGATGCTTAAGAGCCAAAGGGATGCACCCACCAGTCCGACACGATCGACTTGAGTAGGACTCGAACTCGGCGCCTGCTGCTGGTTCACGGGAGGACTGAGCGGTCCTAGGAAGATGGCGCCACCAGATCCGCCGGCTTGATTGTCGCTGATGCTGGTGTTGGAGACCAACACAAGTAGAGCGTCTTCAGAGGAGCCTTCCTGCATCATCGCCAGCGGTTTTGTGGTTGTGTTTTACTGCTCTGTGCATGCGTACGTGTGTGCGTGCGTGTGTGTGCGTATGACTTAGATTACACTGTGGGCCGCGAGAGCCGGGGCCCGAAGCCGAAACACAGCGCAAGGGTCGGGAGCACACAGCACAAGTCGGTTAGTCTTGTGTGCTCCCGACCCCGACTCAGACTGCCAACACTCTACGCAGCCACTCCGCAGCCCCTCCATCCGGGGATGGCGCTGCATTGAATACACCATTAAGGGCTCTCAGGTCCCGCTAGAGCGAGTCCACAAGTCTCAGCTAGGGCAAAGTCAAAGGCTCTCTGAAACAACCCCCCAAAACACCACCAACGAAATCGGGATTCGAAGGGAAAACAAACAAACAAACAAAAATTCGTTTAGGGCAGTCCCGGCAGGGGAGGGCTCCTGATGTATGTATGTATGTATGTATGTATGTATGTATGTATGTATGTATGTATGTATGTATGTATGTATGTGCGGATGTCCGGTTTGAGTTTAGGGTCGATGTTTTGTGCGGTGCGGTACATTTTCGGCATATGACAAGGTCCAAGGAAATTACCGTATTATCATCCATGATAATATTATTTTGCTCGATAAATCAAGCAATGAAAACAACAAATGTAGGAAAAAACTGTCCTGATGAAAAACGATCCCAATGATAGATTGACGCTGAGTTTCAATGAAAATCTACTCTCACCTTTATATCCCAAATTAATTTGAGGTTGCAGAAGGATGCTTTAATGGGCATAAAACCGATTAATCTTTAAAAAAATTATAATGCATTAGTAAAATTTTGTTGTAGTATCTTGTATTAGGTAGGCAAATACAAGAGTCCCTGGGGCCGTTTGTCGGCTTCTTCATTTCGTTGTAGGCAGGCAGTTTTAAGCGTTTTTGAGCTGTGCCCCAAAATAACGGCTAACGGCGGAGGTAAGGGACAGGGGACTTTACTCACCACCACAACTTATATCACTAATACCCCCATAACGTCGTCCCTTGCGCCCACCCACTCACCCGCGCCGTCAGGTAGAGCACGCCGCCATTTCCCTTCGCTGCGACATTGCCTCTTAATGCTACTTTTGAGGTCCCGCTGCCCTCTAGCCGTACACTGCCGTGCGATGCTGCCAGCGCCATTGCCCCTCCGTGCATACCCGCATAGTTGCCTGTCAGCCAGCTGCGGCTGTCAATAACAGCCTGTACGGCTCCACCGCCGCCGCCGCCGCCGCTACCGACGGCAGACAAAAAACCGCCGGAGCCGCCAGCACGGTTGTCGGCGGCGCCGCTGCCATCCGAGATCTGCAATACGGCCAAGCTGCCGCCCACCCATACGCCGCCGCCATCCAACGCGGCGATGTTGTCTCGAAACACGCTGTCGCGGGAAAGTTCCAAAGCCGACAAGCTGCCGTATACGGCAACCGCGCCGCCGGCACCACCAACGGCTGCGTTGCCGTACACTTTGCTGAAGTTCTGCACGCGGATGGGCCCAGTGGCGGCTGCAACACACATGGCACCGCCGTAGGTGCCGGCGGCGTTGCCGTACAAGAGAACACTGCGGTTCAGCAGCAGCCCGGCGTCGCCGAGCACGCCCGACACCCAGATTGCGCCGCCGGCACCCTCTGACGCCACATTGTCGTACATACTGGCGCCATCAAGGAGTGTCACGCCGCCAGTGACGTCGCCGCCGACGGCTAGGCCGCCACCGTGCATCGCCGCCGTGTTGTTGTACATGGCCGCGCCGCCGGTCATCCAAACGCTGCCCAAGCGTGCATTTACCCAAAGCGCGCCGCCGCTGCCATCTCCCGCTGAGTTCCCGAAAATTTCGCTTCCGCTGCCGCTCAGCACAAGCGCACTTAAACCAGCGGCGACGGCAATGGCACCGCCGCTGCCGCCCGCCGCCACGTTGTTCCGTACGGCACCGGCAGACGTCACCTCAAGGCGCCCTAACGCGCCTGACGCAACAAGAATAGCGCCTCCGTCGCCGTACAATGTATCGCAATCGGCGATGCTCGAGCCGTTCGACAGCACGACGGCGCCGACATCACCCGACAGTACGGCCACAGCGCCGCCACCAAGCATGGCGTGGTTGGACGATAAGGTACTGCCGCCAAGTACGGCAAGTTGCCCAAGCCCACCCTCGACGGCGACGGCGCCGCCAAATCGAGTAGCCCAGTTCGATACAATGCGGGATCCGCCCTGTATCGTGATGTTAGGTGCGATCATCACCATCGGCATGTCTGAGGCAGCGGCGGAGGCCACCCAAAGTGCGCCGCCACGCATGGCCTTGTTTTGCGACATAGAGCTGCTGCCTGGCGAAGTAAAGCCACCACCCCACCAGGGAAGGAAACAGATATGGGCTGGTCAGAGAATAATTGATTTTTTTTACCAATGGATAAGAAGTGCGATTATGTGGATGGCTAAGATGCGATTAGCTGTCCGGAGGTCAGGAAAAAAGATGGACGAGGGGAAAAAAGGAGAACGATGTCGAGATGGTGGTGTCATTAGCTGACGGGAGGGGTGGAGTCAGATGGGGAGCTGTGTGGGGAGGGGGCTGAGGGGAAGTCACTCATCACTGTATGCATCTTATCTGGCTTATGTAGTACCTGATATAATCAGGGTCCCCAGCCCGCCAAGCGCGATGGCACCCCCGTCGGTGTTGGCGTAGTTGCCGTCCAGCAGACTCCCAGATTCTACGGACAGATTTGCGATCAGGGACATCGATCGGATGGATCCACCGCTTCCGGCTTCCGCACCGTTGCGCATGAAAGTGCTGTTACCCTGAAAAGAAAAACAAAAATTTGAAAGCGGTGTCAGCTGGCCCTGGCTTGGATCCAAATTTGGACCAAATGTGCACGTGCAAGGGACGAGCTCGATGAATATGAAACCGTCATGTACCGCGCATAGTCTGTTTTCACAAATAAAAAAATCCTAAAGGCAAGAAATGATTTTTATCGCCTTAAGGAGCAGGTGATCGATTTTCCTACTAAAACTGTCCACTGCGTGCGCAAACGGGCGAAGGTAGCGGTTGCTGTCTGGAGGGCAATCGAGTAATCGATATACGCACTTTTACGACCAGCTCATCCGTGCTGTTGGTGAAGAAGAGCGCGCCACCGTCACCGTTGGCTGCTATGTTGGCCTCGAACCGCGTCCCGTTTGCCACCATGAAGCTGCGGATAGGCGCAGAAACGCTGAAAACTCCCCCCGAACCCGCAGCCGTATTGCTTAGAAAGCGGCACCGACTGAGAAGTACGGCGGCCTGTGGATAAATTACATCGGTGATAAGAACAAGTGTAATAACAGGATGAAACGGATAGAAAGATGGAGAGGAAGACGGGACTGGGGAACAAATGTAAGAAAAGAGGGAGAGGTTGAATGAAAGCAAAGCCCACCGGTTGATCATCGAACCCCGGTGACGGCAGCAGCAGCACCTCGGCCGCAATAATGAAGCGATTGACCTCGGCAAGAGACGAACAACAAAAGTTCTGTTTCCCATGAACATCAGATTTCTCCCATCGCCCCTTCCTCCTCTTCATCTTGGCCCTGTGCGTCATCCTCGCACCCATCTAACTCTTCATGCCGAGACATCCTGTCCTGCCTCCCCAGAAGCAACAATCTCCCGCATCCCCCTCCACCTTGCCACAGCCTTTCCTAAAGCCCACGCGTCGGCCTTTCTCTAGAAGGACTTAAGACTCAGCCGAGAAATCTGGAAGCTGTCATAGAGCAAATTGAACCCCAAAGTGCTTTAGCTTTCCACTGTCACGCCTTGGGCCACTTGCGATTTCCGAACGTCCCCCCAAATCCACCCCCACAAACTCACCACACGAGTAACGTTCACAACGGAAAGCAGTGTACCGAAACCGCCTGAGTTGTCGATTGCGGTCACGTCCTCCATAGACACGATCAGAGAGTTTGGGGATAGCTGAGAGCTGTTGCCGGCCACACCTCCCACCGCATTATTGCCCCCCAAGTTGGGGCTGTAGCCGCTGCTGCTGTTGCTGCTTCTTGACGCTGGTTCCGAAGCTTCTTGAAAAGTCACCACCAGCATTCCCAGCCCCACCCTGGTTAGCGTTGTAGTGGGGACACCGAACCCCGTCGTTGGTCTAACGACCTTGAGTATGTATCCAGTGCCGTACAGGCCCCTTCTCGATACGGTGTTGCTTCGGAACGTGCAGTTGACCAGTTCCAGCTGAGGCATGGACGTTGACGCTGACGCCGGTGGCGGCGGCAGCGGAGATGGCGGCGGCAGCAGCGGCTGGCGACGGTTGGGCGGAGGGCGAAAAGGCTGCTGTGTGGGCGCGGCTGCTGTGTACACGGGAGTTTGAGTTTGCGTTGGAGTCTGGTTTGTGTACTGCAGCATAACGCAGGCCCAGCCGTGCGCGTCGCGAACGTCGAAGCAGTTGAAGTTTCGCAGGCGGGCGTACGACACGTTGGCGGCGTGGACAGGGCCGTGCAGGACAGCCGTACTGCCGACTGGGTGCCACAAGCCTGTCACGGTGACGTTGTCAAGTTCCAACTGCGGTGGCGTACATACATACATACATATACATACATACATACGAGGCCGGGATTCTTTGTGCTGCGGGACGTGGTAAGGGCCTTGGGAGCCAGCCATCTTGGTAGAGGGGTAAGGGGGGCCCCGCCAATCTGGCTACCCTTTCTCCCCCCCTTGGGTTTTTCCCGGAGACCTGATCGCCCGGTGCCACGGCAGGATCTTCCCGTTCGCGCACTTTTCGAGTTGGCCACAGCGCTATGTAGGGGGGGGCATGGACACGTGCGGTAATACTCCCACTGCGGTTGATACCTCCCCTGGACTGGCCCAGGGGGGGAGAGGTGGGAATGGGAAGTGGTCTCGGGAGGCTGTTTGGCGTCTGGTGGTGTAAGCTCTATGCGCTCTTTCTGTTTGAAGGCTTTTGGTCTTGGTGACCTCCCCAGCCCGGGATGAGTCGTCGGGTTCCCGGTCGCCCTGGTCCTGAGGTTTTGCTGTACATTCTGCCCGTAGGAAGGACTCCCCGGGTGCGACTTCGTTTCTGATGTTGTTCACCAGCGGGCCTAGAACCCGTTTAGCTGCAGCGCTACCCCCCCCCCGGTAGGTGGGGAACGTTGCTTAGTGCCGGCCGTCTTATTGCGCGCAGTCTGACCGGGGGCCTAACCAGCCGTGTGCGTCTAAACCCGCCCGCTGTGTTTCGGCCCTGGGCCTCCGGCTTTTCAGCCCACAGTGTAATCAACGTCATATACACACGAATACATACCTGCCATAAACATACACACATACATACATATATACGTCGTTACCCTGCAAGTCCCCGTACATACCTTGGTGCAGTTGAGACATTGAAGCAGTGCGACACGACTGTACGGTAAGTCCCGTACGACGCTGTCCCGAAACCGCATGTTCGGCAGGTTGTTAAAGGTAAGCCCCCAGTCGTCATCTCCCGACCGCTGTGTCGCCACCACGCCCTGCCATTTCGACACGAAAGGCGCTAGAAGTTTTCCAAAAGTCACGTTTACGCTGGCGGTCGTGACACCGCCACCGCCGCCACAGCCGCCCGTTCCGTAAGCGCTGCTGCCATCAGTTGTGCATATGACGCTCGCCAACAAAATCTCTGGGACTCCACCTTGGCCTCTCGCGGATCCATTTCCCATGAGCACCACCTGGCAACTGATCAGAGGAGGGTTGCTGAGCAAGTCCGTTGCGTTGGGCGGTCGCGGCGGTGAGCATCTGGGAAGGGGAGGCAGCTTCGGCATTGGTGGCGGTGGCTGCGGTGGCCGTGGCGGCTGCGGCGGGCGTGGCTGCGGCGGCGGCGGCGGCCGCCGCTGTGGAGAGAATTGTACAGCGAGTAGCTTCGCTGCTCTCCTTGCCGGCGGCGGCAGCAACGGAACGTCTTGCGGTTGAATAGGTTCTGTCAACGGCCGTGGGGATAGTGAAGGAGGCAGAGGGTTGTGTTGGAGGGGGACAGAGGGTGGAAGGAATCACGTGTGTGTGCACGCGCGCGTGTGTGTTGTATGTACGGCAGCTGCCGAACGCTGCCGATAGCTGCAAGTGCAGGTTTCACCCAGCTCTCCGTGGGATTCAAAAAGCAAAAAGCAGCAGGGCACGTAGCGAAGACGACACGTTCGACAACCCCACTATTACGACTACAACACTACTACTACCACCATCACTACTACTACTACTACTACTACCACTACTCTAATACTGTTGCTACTGCTACCGCTGCTGCTCGGCACTGCGCTCGGCAAGGACGCGACATGACGGTGGAGGAGCTCGGGAGGGGGCCTGGCAGCACGAAAGGCGGCCTACCGGACTTCCTAAAGGCCGACATGACACACACGTTAGCGACGTGATCTTTGGACAGCGACTTTGCGCGTTCGTCGTTCATAACGTATACGGCACACACGAGGGCAACCCCCGTAGCAACGCATCATATAGCTAGATGTGGCCGTACTGCAGCAGCTATAACGCCCGGGACCATGCACACTTTCTTCAGGACCATGCCTGCTCCTGGATGACTGACTGTCCTTTCACACACAGTCCTTAAAAATCCCCTTCTTCCCCTATGGGGAAGAACACGACAATTGCCCCTAAGTTGAAGCAATGCCTATTTACGTTTGTAAACGGGGCATCCAAACGCGGAAATGCCTTACCTGCTTCCCGGCATCGAACCGACGCCCCCTGTGGTAAGGGGTAGAAGGAGGAAAGAAGGGTTTATGGCATATGTGAGCGAAGGTAAGCATATCAGGGGACAGAAAAAAATTAGACACACAAAACGACATTACGGCTGTGTGCAAGCAAAGAATGGTATGTAGTACGACAACATTGCACATGCAGTACAGCCTCTATCCGTACTTCACCTTCACCTCAGCAACCAAAGGTGCTGATTGAAAGACCTCCTGCCAGACCTCCCATGGGTTTGTGCGCAGGCCGAGTTACGCACTCTGATTGCTGCACGCACACGCTTTGGAGAGCTGAAAAACAGCAGCTACTGCTACTCTTGCCAAAAGCCTCCGAGGGTTTTACCAACGCTGCGAAACTGCATAACTATTGCTACTGCTGCGATGGCGATAATTCATGCGATGCCTTTCATGGTGATCTTTTTTAAAGGATCGATAATATGAGGGCGCCGTGAAACCTTCCCAGGGACCTACCAAAGATGTCCCGCATTTTTGCGAGTCAGACAAAGTAATGTTACATTGCTGAAGTGTCCCCGTCGGCCGTCGAGGGCACCGAAGGGCCAACACTGCAAGCTTGACATGGGGCTCCACAGGCACGGCTTGCAAAGCTGTTGCTCCAGAAAATGGTAGACCCAAATGTCGGCAGACGGTCCGTGCCTCCGATATTGTCAGCCCACCTCTGCAATATAGTCAGAAGGTGAATTAGCGACCGATTATTTGTTTTGTATGACACGCAATTTTTCGTCTTGAAGTGTTTATAGCCATTTCCCCGAATTCCAAAATAAAGTTTGCAGATATGGATATTTAGTTTAAAGATGTTTTTTTGACCGCCTTGCAAGGTGCCAACAATTGTGGCGGCAGCCGTTCGAAGGCGAGAAGCGGCGAAGGTGGTAGCAGCAACAGCTTTAGCAACAATGGTAGCAATAGTTGCAGTAAGACTTTCAATTCTGGCTGCTCACCCACAGACGGATACCCATAAGCCGCCACGTCGAACTTCAATGCGGCCTTCAAACGGATTGGCGCCGTCCGTAATGCGCAAAGTCGGCACCGTTACCGCAGCAACTGTCAAAAGATTGTCGAAATGGCAAGAAGGAGAAAGTATCGGCCTTAAAATATACTTTCAAGCTAGAGGTAACCCTTCGCAGCCAATAATGAGAAACGAAAGTTGGCGGGAAAGGTCGCGACAGTAGGTCGGCGTTTTCGACATAGGGACAGGGGCGTGGTTCAATGCCTATTTCCTCTAGCAAAGCAAATGATTACTCACTTCGCAAGCATGATGCAGATGTCGCACTCCATAAAATGGCTAGGTATGTTAACCAAACCTGCCAAAGCGCTAGTTGAGGAATGTGCTGTGACATGATGGACCTTGTTCGACGCATTCAAGTATAGCTACGACTTCATCCTCCGGCTCCCTACATTCTACACTCGGAGGGCGAGTGTCGTACCCTAGATCAGCAAATACTCGTACTTCCGCATTCTGCAATTGCAAGCTTTTGCGGGAAGAATGCATCCAGCAGGCAGTTCGACGTTCAGGCGCAGGAGTTACCAAACATGGTGGTCGTTTCGGATTCACCGAAAGTTGCATTTGCCCACTTTCAGAAATCAGGTATCGAGGCTGCCTCAACCGTTCACATGGACTTCCATCCCCCGGTAACGTGAACTTGTATTGCAGTCAAGTTGACATTTCGATGGACGCCACAGCGAGAATATGGCTCCGATCGCCGTGATCGCTGTTTGATTTTGCTCTAGCGGTTGTCCTTGTATGGAATGCAGCGTTTACATGTCATAAGATTCTATATTTTGAATGTTTTCCTGGTAACGCGTTGAAGACCCAGAACGCTAATCCGCGTCGCGCGCAACTTAGTCGAAAAGCGGAACAAAGGGTTGTGATCGCGTGTTGTGGCGTTGTTCACAGATTTGATAGCTTTAAGCAAAATATCTCTTTGACACAATCAGCGACGTCATAAGAAATACAGCTTTGAGAGCGTGTACTTCTTGGCGACCTCAGGCGACGTTCTCGCGTACTAATCCCCGATGACAACAAAAGAGCGGGCGGCCGCGTATAAGCCCATCAAAACTTCAACCTTCTCCTCTTTTTTGCATGTTTTAAATTATTGACCTTACAAGCGTCTGTCTTCCCTTGGGTTTCTGGGACAGGTAAGAAATGGAAAATTTGAAACGACGCCTCATAGCCGCGAAGACATAGCAGAAGATCTTATGTCAAGTCTGGTGAGATATAGTTTTTATAATCATATACTTATGTTACAAAAGACATTACTTCAACTGCGCAAAAGCATGAGATGGCTACCTCGCACAGAACACACAGAGGTATCACGTGCAATCACATGAGGTAGGCACCTGTTGCACCCGTTCAGCTTCCCACAACCGAACTACTACACTGCAGTGTGGTCTTAGGTATGAGCAACTAACCACCGCGCAGATATTTTATAGTCTGAAGGCTCGCATGATTCTTCCCATCATCAACAGTTTTTCCGCGCTTAGGCTTGCTTCCCGCATCATGCCTAAACAGAATCGCAGAAAGATGAGCCAAACCTTATTGCACCGATTTCCGTACCCCTCCGGAAGACCGCAAACATCACATCTAAAGATGAAGTCGAAATCTTGTACAGCAAAATTTTGGAATCGATGAAGGGCTGTTAGTCACAAATTGACGAAGCCATATGTCGGCAATGAACTGTTTATCCATCGAATCCTGTGGCCAGCAAATAAATCGTCGTGCAAATCTTTTTACAGCATTAAGCGGGAAAGATTCGTAACCCGACCAAGCGTGAGCGTGCAAATGCCTGCCCCCAAAATACGGCACATGTGTCGATGTGTGTCGAACGTCCCTTCTATCCACCGTAATTGTGAGAATAGTTTTGAGTGTTTAGACCAGCAAAGCGCCACGGACCCCCGTTGGGTCCTATTACTGCTGTTACCATCCACTGGTGTATGAGTGTCGGTCATTTCCAACATTGGGGCCTCTCATCTTTCATACCCGCAGCTTTCGTATCCGCTGCAGCTCGGATCCATCAGCTGACGGCAACAACGGGCCTCGGCAAACTGCACAAAAAGTGGTTCCCTCAGACCCACTGCAGGCAGTGCATGTACTAAGCCCCTCCTCACACCCACCCACCCCTCCGTTCTGAGGGGTCTATGTGTATGCGTATGTCCGTATGTGTTTCTGTATGTGTGTTTCTGTATGTGTGAGTCTGCGTGAGGCGCGATGTTCATCTCGTCCTCGTGCTCTGTGTCCGGGGTTCTCTTCCGAAATGCTGCCAGGGGGTTTAGATGGGTACTGTCAAGAGAAGGCAATATGTCAGCTGTACATTCACTGGACGACAGAAGTCCGTCCCGCCGCGGATTTGGGCTTGACGACCCTGACTCACTGACTTAAAAAGGGATTTCAACCTCACGGCTACGACTTAACTCTCCGTCCTTTTTATGTTATGAATAATTTGCGGGAGGTCAGCTTTAAGTTGGCAAAGATCGCAAAGATCGCAAAGATCGCAAAGATCGCAAAGATCGCAAAGATCGGCAAAGATCGGCAAAGATCGAACAAAGCTTTGTGCTATGTTGCCAGGAAAAAGGTAGGAAACAGCGGGAAGGAGGCTGCCGTAACTGTCGGACAGACCCTCGTCGCGAGTCTGCCGTACGCACATTTTTTGTCGATGCTAGAGTCGTATGACGAGACACTATGCCCACTCTGTCCATGTATCACAGCCATTTCCCCCGCATAAAACTACATCGCATCCTGTTCTTATAATGTAAAAGATTGTGGCGAAAAACGTAATCTCATGTGATGTAGAATGGTCCATTGTGACCATAGAAGCCGGGGCCATCACTCACCACCCAACCCCCACCCGCACCCGTGCCGCGTGTAAGGATTACGCCACCGCATTGCTTTCATGGCCGCAAAAGCATCTGGCACCTTACGCGAGTTCCATTATAAGCCCTAGTGCGGGCGAAGTCGTGTGCATGTGTGGCGTTTGGGTGTGAAAAAGAGTTCTACGTGCACAGCTTGCGCAAGGCCAGCTTACAACTGGCAGTGATTGTGATTGATGCTGCCACATACATATAAAGCCGCAGAAATATACATGTATATAGGGTTTGGCACCACTGGTAAGGCGCGACCATTGCCCCCGGTAGATCCAGGGATCGATACCCGTTAGGGCCATAGCCCTTCCGATGGTGAAAGGCATTGCGCCCCTATGTGATGGACGGTGGTGACCTGGGATAAAGTTAACCCGCGAGCCGACCAGGAATGGAGTTGGGCCGCCGTCGACCCGGCAGATTCCGTTGGATGCTGGTGGTGTGTGCGGAACCTGAGCGATCCACTGAGAAGTTGACTAGGGTGACTGGATGAGGGTGCCCCGAAATACCGGGGAAGGCAGGATTTCGCAGGGTAGCTGCCACGGGCGAAGATACACCCCCCTGTTTCACACATCATATAAAGCCGCAGGAATGTACGAGCAAACTTACAGAGCGTAGAAAGCGAGTATACTTTGCAGATTTGAAAATTTTCATACAGGATTAGAGCAAGCCGAATAAGTGCGGCAAGGTACTTGGTATTAGGTTAGATATTAGGTTTATCTATAACATCTCATATTTTTTATGTTTTTAAAAATAGCTATTATTGCTTCTATAACCGTAACACTTGCAGTCTGGTTACCTATGATAACTACATTATTTTGGAACAAGGATATGG